GGATGTCCGGAAGTAGAACAATAAGTGGGAAGATCGATGGTTGCCGCAGTAATGCGTGTGCACATCGTGCCTATCTTGGTTTCCCTTTTGTTCTCTGGTGTGAACATCGTGCCTATCTAGGCTTCTGGCTAAACTAATAGGAAGCGGAAGGCCGATATATAACAATAGTCCTTGTTCTCTTTGTTCTCAAATGGGTGCCTCTATTGTGTCCTGGAATAGACAGGTCCGACCGTATCATCCACGGGTCTGGATCATAACATGTGATGTGGACTATCACCTGATCTCTACGTGTCGCATCTGTGGCTGAGTGGCATGCGATATTGGTGAAGCACGTGATCTGTGGCATGAGCAAAGTCACGTGCAGACTTTGTGGCAAAAATCTGTGACACTACCCCCCTCTCAAGGCTCATTGTCCTGAGGAGCCAAAACCTTTATTTCCCCTTCTAGTTGCTCGCAACGGTTGGTAACTTCGGGAGGGAAGCCCTTCGGCATAATATTCGAAGATTATTTGGGCTATCCTGTCTCCCGGTTTAACCGAAAATACGAAATCTGTTGTATTGATCAGTACGACCTTGAGTTCTCCGGTGTAATCTGGGTCCACGACTCCTGCGCCCACATCAATTCCTCGTGCAGCCAGTCTGCTGCATGGAGCTATTCGTGTATAGGTGTGTTTTGGAGGGTCAATTGCGACTCCCGTTCCTACCACAGCTCGTGAATGTGGAGGGATTTCATGCGTTTCTGCTGCGTAAATATCCCATCCTGCTGCTTCATTTGAGGATTTCTTCAGTGATTTGGTGAGGTCTGTCATTTTATGGTATAGGAAGAACTCATCCAGATGGTCGAACATGTTGATTCTGTGTGTGGAGATTGGTGCAACTTCATATGAGGATAATTCGAAGCATTTTCCATCAAAAGTGACGACCCTGATTGGTGCTTTGGCGGCATCTGGGTGTTGCTGGTGGAATTCTTGAAGAAGCTCGTCGGCATTGATAAAATTTGTTCGGGGTTCCCATGTATTGTCAGAATGGTCATAGCCTTTCCATTTGATGAGGTATTGGACCCTTCCCCTTACAACTTTCAAGTCTAGTATTTCCTCAACTTCGAATTCTGGTTCTCCTTCGATTTCTATGGCTGGGGGCTTTGGGGGTTCACGGTTTGTGACCGTGTCTTGGTGGTACATGATCAACTTGCTAGCATGGAAGACTGGGTGGACCTTCATTTGCTTAGGCAGTTCCAGTTTAAATGTGACTGGGCCTAGCTTCTGAAGTACTTTGTAAGGTCCGAAGTTTTGTGTGCCTAGCTTCGCGGACTTGACTTTTACTCTGAGATCCTTTCCCTTGAGTAAAACCGGATCTCCGACTTTGAATGGGACTTCTTCCTTTTTCTCATCGAAGTACCATTTCATTCGTGAAGCTGAAACTTCCAATGCTGCCTTTGCCTGTTCTTGTGCCTCAGATCGGTGGGCGAATAGATGTTCCAATGAGGGATGATGTATTGATTCGTGTACGTCTGGTGCCATTTTTGGATGTCGGCCATATTCGACAAAGAATGGGGAAAGTGTGGTGGATTCATGGGTCTGGTTGTTGTATGAAAATTCTGCTGTCGGCAGGTAATAGACCCAATCGTTCTGTCTGTGGTTACAGTACATTCGTAGATACTGTTCCAACACCTGGTTAACCCTTTCTGTCTGACCGTCTGTCTGGGGGTAATATGTGGTAGACATTGTTGACTTTATACCGAGTTTCTGGCAGAACTCCTGGAATAGTTTGCTCGCAAATTGAGTACCTCTGTCTGAGATAATTTGGCGCGGCAATCCGTGGAGTTTGAAGACTTCATTATAGAATACGTTAGCGACTTGCGACGATGTGACTGTATCATCCGTTGCATAAAAGTGCGCTCGCTTCGTAAGTCTGTCTACGATGACAAGTATTGCCATCTTCTTCTCTCCCCTAAAGTCCGTGGCTGGAGGAAGTTGTGTGATGAGATCTACTGTGATGATCTCCCAGGGTCCTCCTGGTACCTCATTTGATTGTAGTAGTCCGTATGGTTTTCTCTTGAGTACTTGTTGCATTGACAACTGTCGCAACCTTGCACGTATTGTTTAACCATTACAGACATTTCTGGCCACCAATAGTTCCGAGTAATAAGCTCCAACGTCTTGAACCTGCCGGGGTGTCCGGCTGGTAAGGTGTCGTGATGGAGTTTTATTAGGTCAAGGCGTAGCTGTTGATTCTTGGGGACATAAACCTTTCCACGATGGAGCAGCAGTCCGTGCGCAAAGTTCCATTCTGCGAGGTTTTTCCCAAATTCGCGCTGTCCTGTAGTCAAAAGCGCACGATAATTCTTGGTCATTGTGTCATCTGTGAGTGCCTTCTTGATCCTTTCCAGTAGTTGAGCATCATCAACTCCAGATGCATGAGCGGGTCGAATCGCATTGATAGCGAAAAATTCAGGTTTTAACAGCATTTGGTTCGAATTGTCGCTGTCTACCCCCCTCTCATGGTCTGGCCTCCTGGACAGAGGATCGGCATGAAGCATTGTCTTTCCAGGTCGGTGACTGAGAATGAAATTAAATCTGGTGAGGAATAATGACCAGCGTGCTTGGCGCTGGGATAATTTCTGTGCCTGACAGAAGTATGTAAAGTTGAGATGGTCCGACCAAATCTCAATGGGTTCTGGATGTCCTTCTAAATAGTGCTGGTATTCTTTGAGTGCCCGAATAATAGCAAGCATCTCCTTGTCGTAAATCTCGTAGTTCTGCTCATGTTCGTTGAGTGACTTAGAGTAGTATGCGACTGGATGCCATAGCTTGTCCTCCCCTAGTTGTTCGAGTACTGCACCAGTTGCATAGTCTGAAGAGTCTGTTTCTAGACGGTATGGTGCAGTGTCGTTAGAGAGTTGTAAGATCGGGGCTGAGGTGAATGCCATTTTGAGTGCACTGAAGGCTTGGTCTTGCTCTTCCTTCCATTGCCAGGGCACGTCCTTACAGGTGAGAAGTGTTAAAGGTCATGCGAGTTTTGCAAAGTCCTTTATAAATCGCCTGTAAAAATTCGCGAATCCTAAAAAGGCCTGTACTTGTTTGACCTTTGTGAGTGCTGGCCAGCCAAGGATGCCTTCAATTTTAGCAGGGTCCATCTGTACTGAGTTCTTGCTGATGATCATGCCAAGATACTCGATTGAGAACTGTTCAAAAAAGCATTTCTTCAGTTTGGCATATAAGTCATTGTCCCGGAGGTGCTGTAGAACTGCTTTTACTAGTCGTCGGTGTTCGTCGAGATTGTCCGTAAATATGAGGATGTCGTCTAGGTAGACTACCACCTTTCCAGTGCGAATCAAGTCTTCGAGGACCATATTCATCATTGTTTGGAAGGTGCTAGGAGCATTGCAGAAACCGAAGTACATTACGGTGGGTTTGAAGAGGCCACGATGTGTAATGAAGGTGGCTTTCTCTTCATCTCCTTCCCTAATCCTTATGTTGTTGAACCCCCATCTCAGATCAAGCTTCGTAAATATACTAGCATGTGAGAGCCTGTCGATGAGGTCTGAAATGTGTGGGATTGGGAACTTGTTCTTTTTTGTGACTGCGTTGAGGTTCCTGTAATCTTGTACGAGCCTCAGTGATCCGTCTTTCTTCTTGACGAAGAAGACGGGTGCTGCAGTTGGACTCCTTGATCTCTTGATGTAACCTTTGGCCAACTCTTGGTCTATCCACGTGTCGAGCGAATTTCTTTCCTGTAGGTTCATAGGATATAACTTTGCCGGGCGTGGTAACGATGCCTCTGGAACAAGTTCGATTGGATGATCGTAGGGCTTTCTTGTGGGCATTCGTTCTGACTGCTTCTTGGAGAACACATCGCCATACTCGTGGAAGTGTTTGGGGACATAGGCTGACCAGTAGTCTTTGTCCTGTTCTCCTTTTTGCGGCACTCTATCCTGATTCCTCTTGGTGTCAAGACCCATAATGAGTGATGCTACGGCTTGTGCATCAGGGTCTTCTGATAATGACACCCATCTAATGAAGCTGTCCATGTCGTTCCAGTTGTCACCTAACTCCTGGGAACTGATGAACTCCATCAGGTTTTTGATGTGGGGGATGTTTGTGTCTTCCAGGTCCTCCTCCTGGATTGCTACCTGTGAGGGTGTGCATCTTTGTGGGCACCGGGTGAAATCGACTGTGAGTTTTCCCCAATCCACTTCTGGATTATGCTCCTTGAGGAAACTCATGCCTAGTATAACGTCTTTATGTCCTATATCAGTGACCAAAAGGCTTTGCTTGCTTGTATGGTTTCTGATGGTTATACTTAGAAGAACCCTTTTCTTAATGGTTCCACCCTTGTTGT